TACAGCTAAAATAAAAATAAAACCAACCCGGTCAAAATTCAGAATTCTCAAAGAAAGAAGATACAGTGTAAAGAATTTAAGTTTGCTCAAAGTAACTTGGTATTTGCCCTTATTTCTTGAAAGACATTCAAAACTCTTGGAACTTTCTCAGTAACTGAGGCGGCTTTGTTATCTATATCACACATGAGGAATTGTGCTAATGAGTGGGGGCCCGGCCAAGCCAGAAAGACCACCATGTACCTGATACCAGCTGACCTCAGGAGGAGTATGATTCAATCAACCATGGCTATACAATAAGTCCATAAGCACGCCGATGCAGTGAGCTCCCAATATGGGATCTGGACACAGAAGTTATATGGGCTTCCTGGTTGGTGAAAGGCATCCATGCATATGGGAGGATAATGTGTCCCTTTTTGGGACATGGAAGCTCCTCATGGAAACCATCTCAGATGTCATCCTATGCGTCTCTTCATGTGTATCCTTTTTTTTTTTTAACAGTAAAACTGTAATTGCAAGTGTAAAGCTCCCTATGAATTCTATAAATCATTCCGGCAAATTATCAAACCCCAAAGTGTGGTGGGACCCAGCAGATCAGAAGTAAGGGAGTTTAGGGGGGACTCCCAAACTTGTGGCTGCCATCCTGAAGGGTTAGAGGAAACCCACACATTTATAGCCAGCTGGTCAGAAGTGAGGGTGTTATGTGGACGCCTGAACTTGGAGCTGCTAACTTTTGAGATCTGACCTATCTGTGGGTGGCTAGGAGCAGAGAAAGAAGTGATGCATGGTGTTATGGATTGAATAGTGTCCCCTCAAAATATGTGTTGTAAATCCTAGCCTCTATGCCTGCGGTTTGGAGCCATGGTGGCAAAGTGATTAAGCGGTCAGCTGCTAACCAAAATATCAGTAATTCAAATCCACCAGCGGCTCCTTGGAAACCCTATGGAGCAGCTCTACTCTGTCCTATAGGGTCGCTATGAGTCTGCATTGACTCCGCAGCAATGAGTTTTGATTTTTTATGCCTGTGGTTATAATCCCACTTGGGCATGCATTACTTTTGTCATGTGAATGAGGCAGGATTAGTGTAGGGTGTGTCTGGAGTCAATCTCGTTTGAAATACAGAAGAGATTAAATAAGCAAGCGAGAGAAGCAGAGGTTAGGAAGAGAAATGCAAAACCACGTAAATATCCTCCAGGAGCAGAAGCTCAAAGAGACAAAGACTTTGCCCCTGAGCTGACAGAGAGAGAGAGAAAGCCTTCCGCTAGAGCTGGCAACCTGAATTTAGGCTTTTAGTCTCCTGAGCTGAGAAAATAAATTTCTGTTTGTTAAAGCCACCCGTTTGTGATATTTCCATTATGGCAGTATGAGATAACTACGACACATGGGCAGTGTCATCACCGGGCTGGTGTCCCCGCCCCCACAGACCTCCTCCGCTACCGGACTATACAGAATCCTTAGTAATGTGTTTTGCACTGTTACTTCTAAATTCGAATCCCTGTATATTACTCCTTCTTTTCCTTTAACTACTACTTTATTCTCAAAAACGTTATTGATATAGGTTTACAAATACTAATCACCACAATATTGTAGCTAAAACCCCAGAAAATTTGACAAGATCAGCAACTCTATAAACACCAGCAGCAATGAAAACAACAGTGCGTTTGCGCAAGTGCAGACGAAACCACACGATTCGAACCGTCATTGTAATTGGGTAACAAGGACAGCTCTGACCAGAGTGCATTCGAAGGTTCATAAAGTAAATTAGCATAAAGTTTTAGCTTTGTAGGTATATAGATATATGTAAGCTGTGCTTACAAAAATGTTTTTGTTGTTAAAACTAACTACAGGGATATTTTTATAAAAAATAATAAATTTCTACCTAAATGCCCATCAACGGATGAACGGATAAATAAATTAGGGTACATACACGCAATGGAATACTACCTAACCATGAAGAACTATGAGGAATCCGCAAAATATCTAACAACATGAATGAATCTCGAGGGCATTAGGCTGAGTGAAATAAGTCAATCACAAAAGGACAGATATTGTATGAGACCACTATTATAAAAACTCAAGAAAAGTTTACACACAGAAAAAAACAATCTTTGATGGCTACAAGGGAGGGAAGGGGAAATGTTATCTTTGGTAATAGGAAAGACAGCACACAATATAGGGAAAGTCAGCACAACTTGACCAAGGCAGAGCCACAGAAGCTTTCTAGACACATCCAAACACCTCAAGGGACCAAGTCACTGGGGCTGAGGGCTAGGGACCATGGTCTCAGGGGACATCTAGGTCAACTGGCATAACATAGTTCATAAACAAAATGTTCTACATCCTACTTTGGTGAATAGCGTCTGGGGTCTTAAAAGCTTGCGATCAGCCTGTCATCTAAAACACATCTGTTGGTCCCATCATGTTCTGAAACGAGAATGAAGAAAATTAAAGACGCAGAGAAAATATCAGTCCAAAGGACTAATGGATCACATGAACCACAGCCTCCACCAGCCTGAGCCAGAAGAAATAGATGGGACCTGGCTGCTACCACCGAATGTAATGACAGGGATCACAAAAGAAGGTTCTGGACAGAGCGGGAGAAAAATGTAGAACAAAATTCAAATTCACACAAAAAAGACCAGACTTACTGGTCTGACAGAGATTGTAGGGACCCCTGAAACTATGGCCCCTGGACACCCTGCTAACTCAGAATCGAAGCCACTCCCAAAGTCCACCTTTCAACCAAAGACTAGACATGTTTATGAAATAAACAATAACACATGTGAAGAACATGCTTCTTAGTTGAATCAACTATATGAGACCTAATGGGCAACACCTGCCCAAAAGCAAAGATGAGCGGGCAGGAAGGAACAGGAAACCTAGAGGAATGGACAAGGGAAACCCAGGGTGGCAAGGGGAAGAGTGCTGACACATTGCCGGGATTACAACCAATGTCACAAAACGATTTGTGTATAAATTTTTGAATGAGAATCTAATTTGTGCTGCAAATTTTCACGTAAAACACAATAAAAATCAATTCTGCGGAAACACTGCACAAGAATTTCCTATGCAGTGATTTTGGGTCTGGTCTGTACCCCACGCAGCCCGCTAGAGATGCCACTGCACATGGGCAGCTGGTGTCAGAACTGAACAGAGAAGCAAAAGTGGTGATTTGTTAAAGAGTCAGAAAAAGGTGGGCATTTGATTTATCCAGTCAGCAGCATATGAAATGAAACATACAGTACAAGTGAATCTCTGTTAGACCCGGGACAATTAGACGGGGTATCCATGGTGATGTGTAACCCTGAAGGCCCTGGAGTTTTCTAGTGGGATGGCCTTCATCTTTTATTCATGATCCTACTGTTCATTCTCATATTAGAAACTAAACTGTTAGACTGATCATCCGCTGTACATTTGTAACCCTGCAGGTTGCAGAGCTTTCTAGTAGGAAGACTTTTCATTCTTTGATGTGTGATGCCAAACATAACAGGCACTCAAAAATTTGTACAGGACGGAGGGGTGGATGGGAGGATGAATTCACATGAAGTTGTTAAGGGCTATTGGAATGAGGAGCTCAAACTTTAAACCACTAAGCAAATTTTGTGTTTCTTTCCAGAAATCAAGATCAGAAGGACACACAGCTGCTTACTGAGTCTATTTCAAACCTATACGGACACAAAATGCATTGCATGCGTAAACGGAAGAAATGGTTAGATTCCAGTGTCTCTCAGAAATTGTGATAGCAAATAAGTATATAGCAGTCCCATATATGAAGCTCTGTTATAAATGCTTTATTTTCATTAAATCATATAATCCTTAACTTTATAACCAACCATTGCCCTTGAGTTGATTCCAACTCATAGGGACCCCGTCAGTTTTCCAAGGCTGTAAATTTCTAAGCAAGCCAACTGCCACATCATTCTCCCCTGGAGCTGCTGGTGGTTGCGAATCTCTGACTTTTCAGGTAGCAGTTGATCGCTTTTAACCGCTGCGCTACCAGGGCTCCTTTAACATTGTAAGATGAATTTAATTATTGCCCCCACTTAATAGATTATACATATCTCATGAAACCATGTTAAGTGTATTTACTTTGAGATGACAAGCAATACACCATTGCAGTCCAGGGCCCAGACACTGAAGCCTGACTGCGTAGGTGCATAGTCTGCTCTGACAGCTCATAATTGTGCATCTGTCAGAGTAAATGACACAGGTAGCAGAGACCTGGATTTGGCAGGAACTGAAAGAGTCAGTGGTCCCTAACTCATAAGTATTAAGTCAGGGGATCAGGAAATATGACCATGGCAATGGTTCTTAGAGAGATTTTCTTTATCATTGACCTGTGTACATATGACTTGTTTTACTACATTCTAGTAAAGCCTTGAGTCCTGGTGTTGCAGTGGTTAAGAGCTACGGCTGCTAATCAAAAGGTTGGCAGTTCGAATCTACCAGCTGCTCTTTGGAAACCCTATGGGGCAGTTCTACTCTGTCCTATAGTGTTGCTATGAGCCAGAATCGACTGGACGGCAATGGGTTTGGTTTTTTTTTTTTTTTTTAATAAAGCCTACGGAGCTGAAATTATCTAGTGAAGCCGACTGTTGCCTTCTTCTTTATTAGGAATCAGATGAGAAAGATTTAACCCTTACTTTTGCATGATTACTTAAAATATCTTAACTTACCTGTGACTGAGCTTCTGCTTGCTCTAGACAGGGTAAGCATCCATGCTGGTGATTTGTGTAGAGCTACTCACTTTAATAATACCTGGTGCTGATAGATCTAATTTTTGCAACCAAAAATATTTAAATTACTTCTTTTATTTATAGAGCTCAGGAGACAAAATGAGGGCAGATCTTGCAGAAAACGCATAAAATTTCCAATTCACCAAGCAATAAAATCAGTTATCAATGATATTCAAAGGACAGACAATGCAGTAGCTACCAGGTAAGAACCACCACATTAATGTAATTTTCTTTCCATTTATTTTCAGAGGTAAGACTCATCAGTACCTGAACAACTTTTTGGGACTGCACATCAACAATAAGAACTCTGTCCAACGTCGGCTGAGCAACATAAATGAACTTGTCTTTGACATTAACAGCCGAGCCCCACACGCACCTCTGGACTTCGTCTCCCTCAGCTTTGGGACACACTTCCTCCTGTAATTGAAGAAACAGAAAATGAATGAAAATTTTAAATTATAACACAGATACCACAATATCATGGATGAGATCAAAGGTCGGTGCTTCACGACTTTCAGCACCAAAAATAAAAATAAAATATAAAGGGTTTAATTAACTAAAGTGATATGTAGAGTATGTTTTGAGCCATTAAATGTGATTAGAAATCAATGTGATTGAGATCAGTTTAAATTTCATTTCATCAAGCCTTTGTTTCTTTTTCTTGTGGAACACATTCCTTTCATTACTAGTTGTTTATACATAATTAATTGTTTATAACTCTAATTTCAGAAATAAATAAGAAATCCAATGTTATTCTTAAAATCCCTCATCTATTTAGCTTCTTTTAAAAAGAATAAATTTCACACGGAAGCATACTCAGAGCTTCCCAGCAGACCAACGGCTGCCCGCCTGGCATATCTATGGTGCTGGAGCATCTAAAGATCGTGTCAAAATCTACCAAACTCACAGGAAGACTATTCAATGAAACTTTTAATTTGTGCTGAATCAGAAGTTTAGAGAAATCAATCTATACCTAGGTACTTATTCACAGTGGATATGTTTTCTTCCAGTTTGACACCTACTCTCAATTCGGTGAGTATCATGCCCAAAATTAACAAAATTAGTTAATCTGCCCAAGACTTGTTATCAGGATCTTTTACCTTAGAACTACCTTCTAGCTGGAGATTGTATAGTTTGTGCGAGATGATCATTAAATGGGCAAAAATACCTTCTATTTTCTGCTGTCCTCACAATCACAAGGTGAGGATTGCGAGGAGAGCACAGGACCGGGCAGTGTCTTGTTGGAGGGCGGCTGAGTCAGAACCTGCTCGGTGGCGCCTAACAACACCATTTCCTCCTTTGCTGCACCTTATGAATAAGTGAATGTTGAAGGGCAAGGAAGCCTTTGGGATTTATGCTGGGAGGCATATCACATGTAGAAGTAAATGAGAAATGCCACTTAGCTCAATATTTGTTTCCAAATTTATCTTTTTTTTTTTTTTTTCACTAACATACTGGTTCGTTGATTCACTCAGTTTACTCACCGTTAGAAAATCCACTCCAAAGAGGGAGATTGTTAAATTGTGCATAAAGTATATGTATAATGATAAATATTTAAATAATATAATGCTAAACAAGTATTCCAGTGTTTCATTATTTAAGTCTGATAATCGATAGCTGATGTCTAATTTCATGGATTTGTATACTCCAGTCACTACCGTCTACAGTAAATTAGAATACTCTCTTTGTTCCCTACCCCTTTCTGTCAAGTCAGTTCCAACTCATAGCGACCCTGTAGGACAGAGCAGAACTGCCCCACAGGGTTTCCAAGGAGCAGCTGGTGGCTTTGAACTTCTGACCTTTTGGTTATCAGCCTGAGCTCTCAACCACTGCGCCACCAGGGCTCCTCTAGTTCATATAAAAACATACTTTTTTCAGCATAGATTTCATCACCATTTTAGTTAACAACATGAAACAAAATCAACACACACATTATCAACACTACTATGAATTTATTTTTATTTGAAGATAATATTTGACAGTAAATAAAATACATTTGGCATTTAGTCACTAAACTGAATACCTAAATAATGTAATTCTTATTATGTGTGGCAGCACAAATACAATAGACGCTTCTTCTGTTTGCATAAAGTATGGAAAATGATGTAAAAATCAGACCACTTTGGAATGAGATCCTTAGTGGATCGTCAGGTGCTTTTGTTCTCCAAGCTTTGGATATAATTAAGGCAGGACTTGCAGTGCCCAGTAATGTTTAAGGTTCAGTCCAGTAGCTGCCAGGTTCAACCAAAGCCAGAGACAGGTCACGATAGTGTCCTCTTCTGAACAGAACAAGTTATTTCAGGAAAACCAAACACCCAACGTATGGATGCCTCAGATACTTTGAGAGTTATGAAATTAACTTTATTTCATAGAACGTACATATGATAACCAGCAGTGGAGTCAACGCGCGTATTATCCATAGCACCTGAAGGCAGAAATCTCTCCTCAGCATGTGCCCAGAATAGAGCATTGTGATTTCATTCACCAGTTCCTACTAAACACCATATTCTACGTCAACCTTCTTTCTTCAGGAGGATGATGAATATCTTTGACAAGAACCTATTTTGTTTGAGAAACAACAGTTCCATATTTTTACGCAAATAATGCATGCCTTCTACATTTGTTTGCCAACCATACCCTCCCTCCATGGGGTATTTTTGTAAGCACTGCTATGCTATTTTTTTTTACATGTTGCTGTAAAAAAATTAGTATATATTGTTGATGTGTTGTGAGATTGTTAACCATTGTCATAGGGCAACATTTGTAGTAACTGTTAAATGGGAGACTATTTTGTCCCGTAAGCCTTCATCTT